CGTGGGCCACCTGTTGCTCCACCGACGTACTCCTTCCTCCTATATATATACCTACGTACCCCAAACGATCAGATACGGAGCCAAAAACCTAATTTCACCGCCGCAACTTTTTGTATCCACGAGATCCCATCTTGGGGCCTGTTCCGGAGCTCCGCCGGAGGGGGCATCGATCACAGAGGGCTTCTACATCAACACCATAGCCCCTCCGATGAAGTGTGAGTAGTTTACCTCAGACCTACGGGTCCATAGTTATTAGCTAGATGGCTTCTTCTCTCTTTTTGGATCTCAATACAATGTTCTCCCCATCTCTTGTGGAGAACTATTCGATGTAATCTTCTTTTTGCGGTGTGTTTGTTGAGACCGATGAATTGTGGGTTTATGATCAAGTCTATCTATGAACAATATTTGAATCTTCTCTAAATTCTTTTATGTATGATTGGTTATATTTGCAAGTCTCTTTGAATTATCAGTTTGGTTTGGCCTACTAGATTGATCTTTCTTACAATGGGAGAAGTGCTTAGTTTTGGGTTCAATCTTGCGGTGTCCTTTTCCAGTGACAGTAGGGGCAGCAAGGCACGTATTGTATTGTTGCCATCGAGGATAACAAGATGGGGTTTTCATCATATTGCATGAGTTTATCCCTCTACATCATGTCATCTTGCTTAAGGCGTTACTCTGTTTTTAACTTAATACTCTAGATGCATGCTGGATAGCAGTCGATGAGTGGAGTAATAGTAGTAGATGCAGGCAGGAGTCGGTCTACTTGTCTCGGACGTGATGCCTATATACATGATCATACCTAGATATTCTCATAATTATGCTCAATTCTGTCAATTGCTCAACAGTAATTTGTTCACCCACCATAGAATACTTATGCTTTTGAGAGAAGCCACTAGTGAAACCTATGGCCCCCGGGTCTATCTTCATCATATTAATCTCCTACTACTTAGTTATTTCCTTTACTTTTTACTTTGCCTTTATTTTACTTTGCATCTTTATCATAAAAATACCAAAAATATTATCTTATCATATCTATCAGATCTCACTCTCGTAAGTGGCCTTGTAGGGATTGACAACCCCTATTTGTGTTGGTTGCGAGGATTTATTTGTTTTGTGCAGGTGCAAGGGACTCGCGCGTAGCCTCCTACTGGATTTATACCTTGGTTCTCAAAAACTGAGGGAAATACTTACGCTACTTTGCTGCATCATCCCTTCCTCTTCGGTGAAAACCAACGCAGTGCTCAAGAGGTAGCAGGCCGCTCCACCCGCTCCGGCGACGACATCCTCACTAGAGAAGGGCAGCAGTTGCACCCTCATCTCGGTGGCGACGGGAGTGCTCGGCCCTGTGGCTGCTTGATGTCGTGCAAGCAGCGGCAGTAGCTCGGCGCCGCTCCTCCCTGGCTCGACGCCGTGCCAGAAGCAGTTGGGGATGTTGTGTGGTGCACCACCACCAGGGGCTGGGCGTGGCTCTCTTGGACGGGGGCTCCACGACAGCATCCTCCTCCTCCTTGCGGTGGTCACGCCGCCGCTCTGCACCGTGCAGAGCCCCATATCGCAGCCCCCGTCGCCCGGCGCGCCCACCGCGTCCCTGCTCCTCCGCCCCGACGCCAACGGATCCACCTCCCCTTCCATAGCCCCATCTGTGGGGTCCCACGACGAGGACAAGGCGCTGGTGGCATCCCCTCCCGTGCCCACCGAGACGTCCCAGCTCCATTCCTCCCACCATGGCCCCCTCCTCCGCGCACTCGTCGGCGCCGTCTCATCCCTGCACTCCGCCGCCGCGCCCGCCCCCGCCCCTGCCGCCGACAAGGAAGGAGATGACGACGATGCTGATTACAGCAAGAAGAAGGGCCAGGCCCCAGCAAGTTAGGGCGGCGCCGATGGGTTGGGTGAGGTGGCCGAGGGAGCAGTGGGTAAGGAGAAAGAGGGCCGCAACGCGGTGGCTCGCCGGCGGGGTAGAGGACGCACGGGGTGGAGTCGAGTGGCACGGGGGTTGCGCAGCTCGGGGCCTCTCCGATCCATACAGGATCGAGGCAGGGGGGAGGAGGGTCTGATTGCTTTTTCTTTTTACAATTCAGGGGTGTGTCTGTCAAAACTTTGCCAAGTCAGCTCCTTACAATCTGATTTCACTTGTCAGAAAGTGATCAAATGAGCTAAATCACCTGATCAGTGCTATTTGCAAAATGTTTACTGAATCCGCGGTGATTTTTTGCAAAAGATTAGTGACCTGGTGGTTTTCCGCAAACGATGCCCCAAATGTGGTTGTGTTTTGCAATTCACTCCGAAAAAATCCGTATATAATGTGTCATCCCACATGAGCTTTATAGGATTCTGAAGGTGGCATTCCCTTATTCCAAAGGCTTCTAGGAAAATTACGTACAAGGTTCAAATCCTACAAATTCGCCCAATCTGAAATATTCATTTTCAATATGTGTCACCAAGATTGCTCTTCCATGACTTCAGGCAAACCTTTTTCACAAGCACACCATGCTAAGAAAATGTGCCTTCGTTGCAATGCCTGGCTGCCAATCTTGTATGGATTGACTTTGGCAACACGAGCTCCAACTCTGTCTGGCATATTTGGGACACCGCAAACCTAAATGGCCGTGACAACGGCATCTGGGTATCGATTTCCCTATCAATCCATTGGAAATTTTGACATTCCATGAACGCAAAGATGCTCCGTGATGTCTCATGCGGCTCCTTTGTAAGAGCATTACTAGTAGAACCCTCAAACCCTCACTACCGTTTTAAGGGTCCAAAAATGATCTTTTTATGCACTTTTACGGGTTGAAAAATAGGGGCAAAGATTAGAACCCTCAAACCCAACCCTTATAACGGAATATTCCTCATGAACGACATTGTCATTGCGTGTGGGAGGTCGACGGGGCGGCCGCCGGCGACGGAGGCGACTAGCAGCGGCGGTCGCGGGCGTGGGCGCGGGAGTTGGGAGGATTTTTTCCCTCCCACGCAAGGATAACCGCCAAATGAGGGTTGGGGTAGGTTTTGCTCCCCACCTCTTACTTTTAAAGATTGGGAAAGGGTTTGAGGGTTGGACTTTAAAAAAATTTGAGGGTTAAGGGGTTCTAGTCTACGGCTTTTTTTCGACGAAAACTGTAAAAAAGCAGTTATTTTTAGGGGTTTGAATGTTTGAGGGCTCTACTAGTAATGCTCTAACTATCTCAAACCTTGATGCGGAATTTGAACTTTGGGCCTATATGAATTCAAGGAACCTACTCTAAAGGTTGTCGCCATGTCTTGGCAGCAATACCTCTCCTTGCGCTCCAGCACGACCATGATACTTAATATATTCAGGTGGAAAATCCTCTCCCCCAATGGTGACTGAAAAAAGCTTGAGATTCTCTTGTGCCAATAATTTGTAGGTCGAACTCATCGCGACCCAGGAATTTTGATGTTTCGGCAAGTGAGGAACTGAATCATATAAAAATTCCTGCGTTCAATGCGCACAGCGACACAAACCGAATCATTAATCAAACATGTATGAATTCACCTACCTGGTCCATCCATTCCATAATGAGGAAATGACGAAGAATCATCCTATTTACCCTCGCGACGAGCAGGCGGATGAGATAAGCATAAGATGCATGAAACCTGACCTGCATCGGCGTCATGCAATCCATGTCGATCGGCACGCATCAACCATCCAAGATCGCTGAGCAAACATGGCGAGCTCAGTACGCATGCCTCATGAACATGTTTGCTGATGGTCATCTAACCATCACCACCGTCTGTCTGTCGGCGCAATCGCCATGCACCCAGACCCAGGCATCCATCCATGCACCAAGCTTACAGACGGCAGACTGAACGATGGTTAGATGACAACCAGCAAAACAAGTTCAGAGCTGCATGAACTAGAGATATACGATTGAGAGTGGCGAGAGAGACGAGAAGGGAAGAAACACACGGAGCCTAGCCAGGGCTGGAAGACGAGAGATGCGAAGACTAATGTAGGCATATCCGTATATGCTTGAAATGATGCCAGAGATAACGAAAGCATGGGAGCATATTCGCGGGAATAAACCATCTGGGGTGTTGGTGGGCCATGACAGACAGAGACTGCGTGCATGCCGGTCAGACTTCACGGCGAGAACAGAACCCACCACAGACACGAGGCTCTACCTCTACCAGCATGAAGGACTCATTAACGTCCACGAAACAAACGTAAAAAAAAGGTACGGATTATGACAAACAACTGGCGACTGATGACGAGGCGCCATGTCATAGGTGACGGCTTACAGTGGATTGCCACGTGAGTGATGTTCCCTTGTCATTTGGCGGTGTTACTAACCTTCACTTCTACTCTAGGAAGGCGATGTTACTAGCGAAGCGTGCGGCCACGAAGTTCTGCCAGTTCTCCTGGTGCAGGACGTTCTTGGCGGCGCCCCTCCTCCTCGACATCGCCATGTCACAGCTGAGCGCGTCGCCCGCGGCGTCGCCCAGCTTGCTGGCGGCTCCGGCGGGGGCATCATGTCCTGCGACGAGGTCTCCCAGAGCGCCGTCCACGGCGCTGCCCATACGGCGGTAGGAAACCTTGCACTCGGCGAGGTCGGATAGCAGGCCTCCGATGAGCTTGACCGTGGACGTGATGTTGTGCGCGGTGGCGTTGGCGGCGATGATGGCGAGATCGCGCCTGCTCCTTGCGGAGGCGGCCGCCGCCGGGTCGGAGGAGGAGAGCACGCCGACGCAGTAGTCGTAGCCGGGGTACATGTTGTATAACAAAGAGGAGCACGTCGCGTTCATGATGGCGGCGGGCGAGGCCGTCCTGTTCGAGTTGGGCACCAGCCTCGCGATGTTCCTGGCGAGCAGGACCAGGGCCGCGTTGGCCGAGTTCTCGTGCGCCAGAAGATCCTTGGAATAGCCCCACCTGAGCATCACGGCGAGGGTGCAGTTGGAAGGGCCGAGGTTGTACGCGTCCAGGAGCTTGTCCCCCGGCTTGCGCCCGGCGACGAGGTCGCCGAGGGCGCTGGCGACCTTGCCGCCCATGTCGCGCGCGTAGGACTCCGAGCATCTCGCGAGCTCGTGGGACAGGTCGTCGATGAGGCCGACTGTACGCGTGACGTTGCGCGCGGTGGCGTTGGCGGCGATGATGGCGAGGTCGCGCTCGTCCTTGGCGGAGGCCGCGGAGGCCGGGTCCGAGGTGGAGAGCACGTCCACGCAGTAGTCGTGGCTGGGGTAGGCGCTGGTCTTTGCGAAGACGGAGCATGTCGCGTCGATGATGGCAGTGGCAGGGGAGGGCCCGGGGTCGGCCATGGCAGCGGCGGCGAGGAGGACGGAGGCGAGAGTATCGCGGCGAGGGGCTGCATCGTGCTTTTTGTGTATATAGGCTTCGATCGATCTTGTCCTGTTTCGAGTTTTATATACAGTTTTGCTAACAAAGTAGGCGGGCCTTTGCAAGGAGCAGTTTCCGGCAGCAAATTGACGAGATTGATCATATACCAAATTTCAATATAACTTCCTTACGGTAGGTTTTTATCGTTTCTTAGCTGACGAACGTTCGCTTCGCCCGGCAGTATGACAATTGTGAATGATTTTGTTGTCAACTTTTTTCTTGAAGACTAACCCGGGTTAGACTAGCCTATTGGCATTTTTTTATAGAAGAAAACTCCGTGAGCATCAATCACTCGAGCCAAGACACTGGTGGACTGGCTGCGAACTCCCGCGCCTTGCCAACTGAACCACACTTCGTTCTCTTTGGTGCCAATTTTAGTTGAAGAATGTGGCAATTTCTTCATACTTATCATGACAATGTCTTACAAAAGACAGTTCATTCCTAAAACTGGTGTTTGCTGGGAATTCCTTCCTAGCAAATGTTCGCCAGTTAGAATTACCATATAATAAACAATAGTTAATTATTTTCCTTATTTATCATTGTTGCATGCCAGCCTGTATAGAATTATTTTGACACAAATACTAAAATTATATTAAAGTATAAGAAAAACTCTACCAAATGCTCTAAAGCATGCTCGTACGTTGCAACGGGGGAATAAGTATCCATGCATCTTGTTTGTGAAAGAAAAAAAATGTAAATTATCCTTCCCTAAAATCTAAGGAATGTAATAATAAGATAAATATTACAAGGTTAATGAAATCGCAAGTTTGATTTGTGGTGCAATATTGATGAGTGTATGATAATCCTTCAAGCCATGTATGCACATCAGAAGAAGAAATAAAAAGGTTGTACATGTGACAATTCATATGATTGTGCACTGACAAAAAAGAATTTGAATTTACATGCACTGCATAATACTCCCCCCGTTTCTTTATATAAGGTGTATTTGTTTTTTGAAAAGCCAAAGGAGTGTATGTTTGACCAAATAGAAAAATATATCAATATACACAATATGGAATTTATATCAATTGATCCATCATGAAAAAAAGTTTCATATTTTATCTATTACGTATTGGAGATGTTGTTATATTATTCTATAATCTTATCAAACATTCAAAGGATTGACTTGCACGGAAGTAAATACACCTTATATTCTGAAATGGAGAGAGTATAGCAGTAGCAAAACGAAGATCAACGGGAGGCCATAGAGCATTGTGAAGAAAATATGTCCTAGAGGCAATAATAAAGTTATTATTTATTTCCTCATATCATGATAAATGTTTATTATTCATGCTAGAATTGTATTAACCGGAAACATAATACATGTGTGAATACATAGACAAACATAGTGTCACTAGTATGCCTCTACTTGACTAGCTCGTTGATCAAAGATGGTTATGTTTCCTAACCATAGACATGAGTTGTCATTTGATAAACGAGATCACATCATTAGGAGAACGATGTGATTGACTTGACCCATTCCGTTAGCTTAGCATTTGATCGTTTTAGTTTACTGCTATTGCTTTCTTCATGACTTATACATGTTCCTATGACTATGAGATTATGCAACTCCCGATTACCGGAGGAACACTTTGTGTGCTACCAAACGTCACAACGTAACTGGGTGATTATAAAGGTTCTCTACAGGTGTCTCCGATGGTACTTGTTGAGTTGGCATAGATCGAGATTAGGATTTGTCACTCCGATTGTCGGAGAGGTATCTCTGGGCCCTCTCGATAATGCACATCACTACAAGCCTTGCAAGCAATGTGACTAATGAGTTAGTTATGGGATGATGCATTACGGAACGAGTAAAGAGACTTGCCGGTAACGAGATTGAACTAGGTATGGAGATACCGACGTTCGAATCTCGGGCAAGTAACATACCGATTGTTGGGGATATTACTACTGGGCGTAAACCGGCCTGTCTGGGTTGGATTAACTTCGTCAGTAGTTAAGTATGTTAAAGCCCAAGAAGGCAGATGAGGGCTCAAGGCCCATGGTCGGTTCAAGGCATGTAGCCGTAAACCGGCGTTAGTAGTTAACTTGTATTATAAGTTAGGAATAAGTAGAGATCAAACCGGACACATCTATGAGCCGGTATTGGGACTCTGTGAACCGACGGGCGTCACCCGTGTATATAAGGGGACGACCCGGCGGCGGTTCAGGAACAACAGACAACAACTCGAGACATAGGCGAAGCTTGTTTGCTCCCTAGTCATCAAAACCCCATCAATTCCATCACAACTAGACGTAGGCTTTTACCTTCATCGAAGGGGCCGAACTAGTATAAACTCTCTTGCGTCCCTGTGTCCACTTTAACCCCTTCAAGCTAACCCGTCATGATGGCTCCACGACTAAGTCCTTTCTCTAGGACATCTGCCATGACAAAACCACGACAGTTGGCGTCCACCGTGGGGCTATTGCACGATGGTTTCAGGTTCTTGGAGGGCCGCTTTGAAGGACTCGAGGGCTACGTTGTAGGCCGGATGACTAAGAGTCGTCGCGGCAAGCTCTACATCGATGACGCAGGCTGGGGCCCCGAGGCCGGCTCAGTTGAGTACGGGTACCGGGTCCCCTTTGGTGGCATTCACGTTTTCATTGGCAAGATCGGTGAACCGGGCCCTGAGCTGGACATCTGCACCGACCTCGTCGAGACGGCTCAGCGTGCGCGATCTGCCCGAGTTAAACCGGCCATGAAGCGTGCCTTCGTGGGAGTCATTCATGGAGGAAGTTATGAGGATGGATCGGAATCTCACAGCGAGACCGTCGTTTGTTCCGATGACGAGTCATCGACCGGGGAGACCAAATCTCTTTATCAGCTACAAGATGGCTAGATTGGGGCTGTTCCGATGGCGACAGTATTCCGGACCCCTCTAATCTGCCCAACCGAGTCGGAATATTCATGGCCGGCACACAAGCAGCGCTTCATTCTTCGACCGCTGCGGCAACAACCTCCGGTTCAGCAGCGGCGACGGCTGCCGGGGTAGGAGGCCCTATGCGCCCGCCGGCTCAAGTTCTATCAGAGCTATTGGATGCATTGGCTGTGCTTATGGCGGAAGCTAATCCGGCGGATCAGGACGTCCACAACGCGGAGTTTGCAAAAGTAAAGAAACAGATCACCCAGGCCAAGGCGGATCTGGCAGCTGAGGACACCAGGATGGCCACAGAGCGGGCCGCTCTAGACGCACAAGCCTACAGGCTCATGCTGGACCAGAGCACGTCGCATGAAGTCATGAGGAGGAAGTACCGATCCCATTTGCCTCCAGTTTTCGAGGCCAGAGACCTTTTCAACACCCCGGGAGCAGGAGCCGGTAATCCGCTGGAGGGAAACCGGGCGGAAGCTCCTGGGACCGGTGCACCGGTTCAGCCTCGTCGAATGGACCCGCCTCATCAAAACACCGTTATACCTCAGGCTGTTTTAACACCTCCGGGTCACTACTCCAACCCAATGGACAATCTCGTCGCCACTGCTGCATGGCTGGAGGCCATTCCAATTGAAGGTGACTCGCCACAGGCAGTAGAAACGCAACGGGTCAAGGAGCTTCTGAGGACAGCTTTGGACCAACAGGAAGCATACTCATACAGCCGCAACCGGATCCACTCAACCCCCCGTCCAAGCCGGAGCTATAGCAGACATATGGATGAACCGGCAGTGTCGAGTAATGAACGACATGGAGCACCCCGTGGCAAAAACCCGGCGGGTGGTGCTGATAACGCTCAGGAAGTGGTGGACCGGGCCCGAGCGCGCAGGGAGGCCGAGTTAGCCGCACAGCATCAGGCTCGACAGCTCACGCCGATTCGTCCAACTATCTCGATTGAACCTGGTGTTACTTCTAGTTCTTTGGGGGTGCCTTGTCTTGTCCCCGCTTTACGCAATGTGCACCTGCCCAAGGATTTCAAAGGCCCGCACAAAGTACCAAATTACACGGCGGATCAACCTCCAGAGACATGGGTGGAGAGCTATGAGATGGCCATGGAGATGCTTGATGTGGATGACGCGGCGTGTGTGAAATACTTCACCATGATGCTTGAAGGAACGGCCCGTACTTGGTTAAAAAGCTTGCCGGCTAATTCTATCAGTTCATGGGCCCAATTACGAGCCCGGTTTATCAGCAATTTCAAGGATACATGTAAACAGCCTATGTCGATAGTGGACTTAGCTGCCTGCGTCCAGGAGGAAGGAGAATCGATGACTCATTGGGTGTGCCGGGTTTCACGAGTGTTGCATTCATCAGACCGCATCAACGCTGACACCGTTGTCTTAACCCTAGAAGGCAACTACCGGTTTGGGCCCCTAAAACTGAAGTTGGGACGGATGAAGCGCCATTGCACTGACATGGGGACCCTCATGGCTGCTTTGGTAAAGTATGCTGATTCTGATAGTACCAAGGATCCCGAATCTGATGATGACAAGGCAGGGAAGGGAAAGAGGAACAGCAACTCCAAAGATCAGCAGCATCACTGGGCAGGCAATGGTGGTGGAGGCAAGCGTAAAGCGGATGGTAACATGGACTTTGTGGCTAATACCAACATGCAGGACAATGGCCAGTGACGCAAGGGTAAACCGAAAAATCGCAATGGGGCACCCAACCCTAACCCAGACCGTCTAAACTATCTACTGAGCCAGCCCTGTCCAAGACATGGGACGAAGGAGGCGCCAGCAAACCACCTTTGGAAGGATTGCTTCATTATGCAGGAGTTCAAGAATTCTAATGCTTTCCGGTATGATCACGGCTCTGGCGGTGGCTCAGGGTCCGGGCCGGGTTACGGTGGAGGAAATTCTAGTTCAGGATTTAATGTTAATCCGGGCGGACATAAAAATCAAAATAGTCAGAACAACCAGGGTGGTTACAACCAACAGCAGCAACAGTCAGGTTACCAAAGCAACCCAAAGCAGTTGAGTAGTGGGTAGTACCAT